CAACTTTGGAGAGAAAGGGTTTATATGCATAAAATTTCACCTTGCCATCCATCATTGCATGAAGTCAAGAAGGAACTCAAGCAGCCAGTCACATTGCATCCACAATCAAAGCTGGGAGAAACAAATAACCTTATGCTGCTAACTTGCTTTCAGCCAGCTTTTCTCACTCTATACAGTCCCGCTCTGACTTGTTGCTGCCCACAGTGGGCTGGCTCCTCCCCCATCAATTATCAGGACAATTATGTATAGACAGGCCAACCTGATCTAAGACAATTCCTAAATTAAAACTCTTGACCTGGGTGATTCTAGGTTATGTCAAGTAGACAGTTAAAATCACACGCCCCTTGAATTGTTTTTCTGATCTCAGTCATCGATACAACAAATATAAATAATGACACAGTGTGTGAGAGAAACATATAAGGCAGAAAAGATGACTCTCAACCATTAAAAGTGCTTACTGACCTTGCAAAGAACCATGGTTGAATCCCTGGGATCCATACTGGGTGGCTAACATCTGCCTGTAACCCCAGTGCCAGGGGGATCCAACATCTTCTTCTGGCCCCTTAGGGCACTACATGTGTGTGGTATGCATACATTCATTCAGACCCATACACACATAAATGAAAGTTAAGAAAATAAATCACTCTTAAGGGATAAAACTTGGAATGGAGATACACAGTAGCTTTCAATCTAGATCACAAATTCAATATAAACAAACACGAAGAAGTAATAGGAAGTATGATGGAATGCATGTCAATAGTACTGGCAGGAAGAAAATGCCAAAATGCTTTAAGAGAATAATGTGTTGGTGTCTCCTCCCACTCCCTCAAGTTTTCATTCTGTTGAATTCAAAATCCCCTTCCTTTGAGGCAGAATGTCATTATATTATATAGCCCTGACTGATCTTAATCTCATGATGTTTCTTCTGCCTCAGCAACGCATCTACTACAACACATCTTTACATGTACCTGCCAGGTACCAGGACCCATGTGAGAGGCTGAAGTTGAGCATTGGCTTTGTCCTCTAAGAGCTGCTTGTAGAGAGAGCCACCAAAGATTGTTTAAGGGTCTCCTCGAGGCCAGGAATTTTCTTTGGTGTGTTTTGATGTGTCCTTTCCAACGAGAGACCATAAAAATCTTTCTAGGAAAGGCATCAACCTTGAGGTACGCAGTTGGAAATTGGCAGGGTGCCCTCAGAAGGTTGGGGAGGTAATTTATTTTTCTAACTTCACTGCAGGAGCTGAAGCCCTGGCACATGCCTCTGTGTGTGACCAGTGGCTGATCTGAGTGACATCATTATTAATTATTAGCCACTTTTGAGTGTCTTTCTCTGAAGCTTCAGAACACTTGGGAAGTCCTATCTTCTTGTGTTGCAATCAATACTGTGTGTACCTTGCCTGGGAACCTGAGTGGCATGTAATTATAAAACAGTATTGATTCCTGGCACACTGAAAACAGACAAGTCTTCCACATAAAATTCAGCCAAATCTTCAAAGGCCTTGATTGTATTTTCCTCAAGAAAGAGACCAATAAGAGTAAGGAACTTGAAATGTTAGCTAAATGAGGGCTATTTCTTGCCAGCAACCAGATCAGTATACATAATTATTTTATTCTCCGGGCTGGCGCTCATTCACTTGGGTTGAATGTTGGAAATGTGTCTGCTTTGGGTCTACAATCCAAATTATTCAGTTAGTTCTTATGATGATGTTCCCTCTTGTGTTCCTCTGAATTATTTTTCCTGTGAAACAAATAATTGCTTGTCTGGGATCAACAGACCCCCGATTTTCCTTGCTGTCTTTGTTACACTATGCAGAAAACTCCTTAGCTCAGAGCTCTATCCTCTTTCATGTTCTTGGTCACCAGAAACCCTATTTCATGTTGGCCTGCTTGTAATTTCTAAGCAGGTCTCCATGTCAGTCATTTTATTTGTTTGTTTGTTTTTGTTTTTCGAGACAGGGTTTCTCTCTGTAGCCCTGGCTGCTGTCCTGGCACTAGCTTTGTAGATCAGGCTTGCCTCAAGCTCATGAGATCCACCTGTCTCTGCCTCCCAAGTGCTGGGATTAAAGGCCTGAGCCACCACTGCCAGGCACCAGTCATTTTAGAGTGACTGAAAATCTGGAATCTTTCTTCCTTCTTGCAACTTCTCCTTCCTTAGCAATAAGGATGAATAGTGATACCCAGCCTGCCTCTATTACGTCATTGATGCCCTGTTGGCTGGTGCCTAGACCTGTAAGAAGGCCTCGCCCTGCTTTATTAGTGTCTAATGGTTGTTGGGGGCCTTTTGAAAATGCAAACCCTATTGCATCACTTGGCTGCACAAAGCCCTGTCAGGGTTCCTCATCACTGCAGTGCAAGATGGAGAGGTGGATGTAAAGTTAGGGAGTGACAGATACTGAGTCTCGTGGGGTAGCTTCTTTCCTAAGATTCTGAGGTCACCGATACACAGCACACACTGATAAACTGTAAGACTGCAGCAAATGCTAGAGCGACAAGGCTTCCCCCAGGGTTCTTGGTATTTTTGGGAGCCTGTGGCAGACAGCTGTGGTGGGATGGCTCTTTCCCTGGTTTTGCAAAACTGGCTTGTCAGTGTAATTGGAGGCTGCTTTCTTTGGAACATCTCACTGCTTCTCGCCAAGCAATGAAGCGCCTCAAGAATGTCACAGGGAATGAGTGGTCCCTGGTCTGTTTTCTCAGAACGTCCTAACTGAGGAAAAAGAAATCAAAGCTAGTACAGGGTATAAGGAAAGCATAGCCATGCAATACAGGGCCCTTTGAGCTGCCTAAGTATCTGCCTAAATGCCAGTGTGCATATCCTGACAGTTGTCTGGGGGCAGGGTCAGCGTAATGCCAGGATACCAACAACAGGGTCTGACACAAAAGGCCCACAGCTGTCCCCAAAACAGATGCTACCAGTACTACTGGAGAGCACATTGTTTTGTTTGTTTTTAATTTCATTTTATATTCCAACCACAATTCTTTCTCCCACCCTCCCTCCTCTCACTTCCCTCCCCATCCCACCTGGCATCCACTCCTCCTAAAGAATAAGGGCTCCCATGAGGAGTCAACAAATCCTGGCCCATCATGTTAAGGCAGAACCAAGCCCCTCCCTTGTGGTGTTGTATTGTTTATGATCTAATTAAGTTAAGCTAAAGATTAGGAAAACAAAGCAGCCAGCCACTAGCTCTCACCTCTCCCTCAGACTGAAATGGGGACCCTGTCCCCACGAATCCTCAGAGCATAATGCAGATTGCACCAAGCTTCAGACTGTAATCATCCGAGTTCCTGTCTTCTCCTGCTTTATTTTCCTCTCTCTGCCCAGCCATATCACTCGCTAGTGCTGGGTACTAAAGATGTGGGATCCCAAGTGTTGAGATCACCTCTGTGTGAGCTGTTTCTCTTTCAGACTGCCTCAATTTTGTTTAGCTCAGTGTTGCCTTGAACTAACAGAGATCCATCTGCCTCTGTCTCCCCAGTCCTGGGATTAAAAGTGTGCACCACCACTGCTTGGCCTCTATGGCTAACTAGTATGGAATTAAAGGTGTGTGCCATCACTGCCAGGATCTATGTCTGTTGCTATCTTTGCATTTGGCTCTATTAAATCATATAAAATATATCACCACACTCCCTCCTGCATTAAAGCTGAGCACAGCATCCACCGTAGGAAACAGTCTCCCACAAGCTAGCTTATACACAAGGGATAAATCCTGTTCCTACTGCCAGGGGCTCCTCAGCTCAAGCTTCACAACTATCTCCCATGTACAGAGGGCCTAGTTCAATGCCATGGAGGCTCCAAAGCTGTCAGTCTAGAGTTCATGAGTTCCCATGAGCTTGGTTCTGCTGTCTCTGCAGATTTCTCCTCTTGACCTCCCTTACTCACCACTTCCCTCATCCCTCTCTTCACCTGGATTCCCAGAGTTCTGCCTGGGAGCACATTGTTTTAAATATGATCATGTACATTGCAAGATGTTTGGTATATCTGCCCCTCGGGCTAAGTGACAGTCATGTGACTCCAGTTACTGTGACAGCCACTAAAGCCCTTCATATGTTCCCACATAGTTTCTCATGTCATGGAGATGGGAAATGAATGGCACCCATCCCTGCCTCTAAGTACCAGTCCCTGGGCTTGGTTCTCAGGTCCCCCAAACCCTCTCCTTTTCAGAAAGTAGAATGAAGAGCCAGGCCAATTTGGTGGTCTTCTGCCACACTTCTTGTCTCTCCAGCTACAGAATAGATGAGCATCAGTCCTGAGCATATGGCTGGCTTTAAAGCCAAGCCCTGCTACTTACTGGGACAGATGGTGAGCAGCAACATGACTTTAAGCAATTACTCTCCCCATGATGCCTCAGTATCTGTACATGAACTTGGGGTAATCATATCTACCTCAAAGGAATTTTTGAAGATTAAATAAGATAGACCATGTAACATGTGGATTGGTTTACCCACTCTTGGGTGGGGCAATTGTATGAGCTAAGAATGACAATAAGATTAGGATCTTACCTGAATGAGAAGATAACATCTGCATTTACAAATGAATCCTCCAGCAAACAGAGACACAGCTTGGTGTGAGCAACAGAGATATGGTCTGGGTGATAGTCTGTGAATTCTGTACAGTGTGTGGCCTTGGATATCTACTCCACTTATCTGAGTCTTGCTTCTTTAGAATCTTTGTATGACACGATATTAGAATGACTGAAGCTTGTAAGTATTGCAACAGATTTTGAGAGTCTGTGATGGCTCAAAATATCGCTAGTCCTTTGTAACCTGGTATGACAATCCCAAATGGCCACAAAAGAGCATGTGTTGGTGAGAGTCCACATACATGGTCTACATAACTCCAAATCTCTTGATATCACCCCTCCTTGCCAATGTGTCCCCCAGTAGCACAGGAGCCTTGGAGCATTTGGGTATCTGTCCTTGAGAGCCCATGACTGTCACAGGGCAGATCTAATGCTAATATCACCAGTGCTCAGTGCTATCATGATATCTTCTTGTGACCCACAGCAACAAAGGCGTGAGAAGGAGCTCCGGAAGCAGCAGGAACGGGAACAGCGCCGGCACTATGAAGAGCAGATGCGCAGGGAGGAGGAGAGGAGGCGTGCAGAGCATGAACAGGTACTGGGAGATGGAAAAACTGTGAACCTACAACAGGCCCCATGGGAACTACAGTATCAGGGAGCTCTGGGATATGGGACACAGTCTCCAAGGACTGTTCTATTATGGCTTTTGCTTTTTCTCCACTGACAGTTCTTACCTATTCAAACAGTCAAGTGCACAGCTTGACAGTGCCCATGCTTCCTACCCAAGCCAGGGCCTCCTCTGACACACCTAGGACTTTTGACTTCCCGGCATGGAACCCAGTTCCCATTCTTCCATCACTGAAGATGAGCCATGCTATTCAAGCTATTTCTGCTCTCCAGCTCCTGGTAGTGGCCTCTCTGACTGATAAACTCAGAAGCTGAATGAACAAGCTATGGGATGGATCTATTACAAAGACTGTGAGCAAGCTAGCCTTGCACATGTGTTCCATGCCTGCTGCTGGCGCAGAGCGTCAGCACTTTACAGCATTGTTAATTCCAAGGAATCCTTAAGAGAGGATCCTAATAACAAGCTTTGACAGAGAGCTGGTTTCATTAAAACCAATAGAGACAGTGAAATGCCAGGCCATCGCAAGGGGGCTGTGCTTTTGACTGTATTGAAAGGCTTGGCTTTGCTATGGCCTTGCTCTTGCTGTTTGGTGAGGTGTTGGATATTTTTTCCCTTCCTTTCTCCAGCATTTCACCTGGAAGCTCTTGTCTCCTTTGCAATTACTGGTTCTTTCTCTCTCTTTTCCTCTCTTTCCATTCTTCCCAATTCTCTGCTGCCTGCCTCTCCAGGAATACATCAGGCGACAGTTAGAGGAAGAGCAAAGACAGTTAGAGATCTTACAGCAGCAGCTACTGCATGAACAAGCTCTACTTCTGGTAATGGGAAAGTCACACACCAGCAGACCTGCCTGGTGTTCACCCTGAGTGTGCGCATGCTTGTGTGAGTGTGCACATGCTTGTGTGAGTGTGTGCATGCTTGTGTGAGTGTGTGCATGCTTGTGTGAGTGTGTGCATGCTTGCATGTGTGTGAGTGTAGGAATATATATGTCTTTTGTGTTTCTTCCTCCTAACATGCCAATTAAAAAAAATGAGGTCTTCCCTTCTAACCTCCTGAGAATCTCACAGAAGCTTCATATAATTTCCTGACCCAGGTTGGTAAATCCTCAACCATTTAGCACACTTTATTAACTCCCTCTATTTGGGAAACTTCAGCATGAATCCAGCCTTATTATAAGTTCACAGTACATTCAAGACCCACTGTGTTTATTGCAGAGTAATTTTTAAAGCCATTTGCAACACGCTGAAATATAATCACAGCAAATGCAACTCGGCCATAGAGCCCGCACAACCCTGTAGCCATTTCTCATTTGCAGGCTGTTGGTCCTGCCTTAACAATGGGAACAGTTTGTTTCCTGCTCATGCTGTATCCACTGGAAGAATTTTTATTATTACTACTATATGGCTCTCCAAATGGGCTTCTTGGTGTTGCTTTTTCATCTTTTTAAATTCAATATTTTATGTGATAGCATCCTGTTTTTGTTTTTAACCTTGTACATAAGCTTGCTGATAGCTTTAGTTAGTACAGATTTTATTTAAAGGTTGATGATCTCTGGTGGTTTATTTGGTTGTATACGCTATCACATATGTTTGAATGACCAAATTACCAAATTAGGAAGTGGATGACAGTAGTGATGACAGTCTATGTTGCAATTCTCCAGAGACATGTCACTTTCCAAGTGGCATTCTATAGGGACTGCCATTAAAGCAATCATGTTTTTATTAACATCCTTGTGTGCACACTAGCATAAGGCAGGGGCTTATTTGGGGTACTCCTTGTCCTTCTTAGAATTGTATGTGTTTCCAGCTCCCCTTTGTCTCCACTGCATGCTTGGCTGCTGCCCAGTGTGGTAAAGTGCCCTGTGGTCATGTGCCTTCTTCTTCCCTCTTCCTGCTCCCGGTAGGAATATAAGCGCAAACAACTGGAAGAACAGAGGCAAGCAGAAAGACTTCAGCGGCAGCTAAAGCAAGAGAGAGACTACCTTGTTTCCCTCCAGCATCAGCGACAGGAGCAGAGGCCCCTGGAGAAGAAGCCACTGTACCATTACAAGGAGGGCATGAGCCCCAGTGAGAAGCCAGCATGGGCCAAAGAGGTAAGAGAGGAAGGGCTGCTGTATCCACTGGGCGGGTTCTCCACTGTGAGTTCGTTCGCTGGGATGCAGAATTCGGTCAGTGCTATGCCGTTTGAAGACAGCCCCATCATCAGAGTTACACTTCACTTCTGCAGAAGCCATAATATCACTGCAGAGAAATGCTGATGTACCTGATGCTGTTTTTCTTGTGCACCTTTCGAGTAAAGTGGGGTTTTGCAGGAGAAAACAACAAAAGTTAGTTTTCCTTACAAAAGACTATTTAGAGGAGGTAGAGAGATAGTCTTCTCGGTAAAATGCTTGCCTTGTAAGCACAGGGACTTGAGTGCAACTCCCAGCACTCACACAAAAAGCCAGACATGGAGGAAAAGGCCGATAATCCCAGAAATGTAAAGGAAGAGTCAAGAGGCTATCTGGATATCTGGGGTTCACTGGTCATCCAGCCTATCCTGATGCTAGGACCCACTGGGAGACTGTCTAAAAAAAAACAAAACAAACAAACAACAACAACAAAAAAAAAACCAAGGTAATGGCAGGCATGTGGGAAGTGATAGCAGGTTGGCAGTTGGCACTCTCTCTCTCTCTCTCTCTCTCTCTCTCTCTCTCTCTCTCTCACACACACACACACACACACACACAGACCTTGCACCACACTCACACCAAGAACGCTGTTAGTTATGTAGCATGACAACTGTTAGTGGAAGGATGTTATTTACAACTCACAGAATTCTGGGAAGGATCATATCCTACCCACAACCTGGTTGCATTACTGAGACCTTGGAATCACTGCTAACCTTGCCTTGTTCATTGTGGTCTCAGAGGTGCACAATGGGCCACACACCTGTGGCTATGATGTGCACTCCAGATACACCCAAAGTAATATTCCTTCATTTTCCAACCCTTAGACCAAGGTAGGATTTTAGGTGTGTGGTTCTGTGGTGAGTTAGTTATAAAATATAATTTAAAACTATTTGGATTAAAGAAAAATAAAGGGATTATAACCAAACAGATAAAGCAAAAGTCAGTAACCCAGACACAGGGTACATCAGTATTCAGATCTGTCTTTGTGACAGCCAGTGACGTCCTTGTATTCCTGCAAACATATCTAAATCACTTAAAGGGGTATTTATGGCTACTTCTTGTCTGTAAATAGCTTCTTTAGGTATTTACATCTGTGATGTTTAGAAAATATTGCCAGAACCATACCCACGACCCTATTTTAATATTTTTAAATTTTTTTCTTTTTCTATCTTATCTTTTACTAGGTATATGAAATACTAGAAATGATATCCTAATCAAGGTAGTTAATGAGAGATGGCAATCAAGCAATGGTATTTATTGTAACATTTTACACATTTACATATTATTTGAATCCTTTTTAATTGGCATTAATTATTACACTGAAATAACTTTTCAAGTGTTTAAGAACTAAGTCTATACAGCAAATCATTTTGCTTAGCGTAAGGAACTACACTAATTAGTGTTCAGTCACTTTCTGCTATAGTCTACGAAATGACCTGTAGTGACCTTTGTGGAACTGGGCCACTTTTTCTGAGATAAATAATTCAGGTTTCTGATTCTACTTCCTCAGAGAGCACTAACCCCACAGTTAATTACTTCTCTCATTGTTGTGACAAAATACCCAACAAAAACAGCTTAAGGGGGAGTGGGTATTTTGGCTCCAGGATGAAGTCTATCATGGCAGAGGAGGCAAGGCAGTAGGAGCAAGAGTCAGCTGGCCACCTTGTGTTCACACCAAGGATGCAGAGAGGGAGGATGCCCGGGCTCAGCTCATGTCTCCTTTCCATTCAGTCTGGGGCTCCAACCAGAGCATATGCCACCCACATACCAGACTGGTATTCCCACCCCAGTCACTAGGATCTAGATAAGCCTTCACAAGTAGGCTCAGACATTTCTTTCTTGGATGATACAAAACCCCAGTAAGTTGTCAATCAAGATGAAGCATCAGAACTTCCTAATAACTCATACCCCTTCTGTGTAAGTGGGACCACTGATTAGCAGTAGGCTTCCTGACTGTCTTCCTCAACTGCTTAGCCATTTCTTAGCCATGCTGGGTTAAAAATCCTCAGCTACCTCAGACCCCCAGCTCCTGCCCATAACTGTTTAGGAAGCTGGAGTGCTGTCCCTCCGCAGAGCTACTGCCATTATAGTCCACAGCAAGTACCAAGGACCACAGCCTCCTGCCTTCGGTGTCCCTAGCTCTAGTGCAAGTTTAGGAAGGAGACAGCTGCACTTCACAGCACTCCTTGTGAAGCATCCCACGATTCCTGCTTTCACAGGCAGATCCCTGTGTTAGAACATCCAAGAAGGAGAGTGTGCTGTGGTTTCCACTTCTTCCTGTCACCTTCCACCCAGCTCAGATTTGAGCCTGTCTGCCTTGACTTCATTGTTTCCTGCTGTCTATCTGATGCCATCATGAAATTCCCTGACCTGGCCTTTCGATTTATAATTAGTTCACAGTTCCTAGGCTCCCAGAATCTCTCCTGGAGCCAAATCTCTACTGCTGTCATCAAGGCAGTATTGTAGACCTTCTGCCTCCCCTGTTTCCTTCCCAGGCTCCTAACAGTAATAGAAACCTAACATATGGACACACAAACACTACACTGAGCACTCCAGATGTGAGGGTCTCTGGTCACCTCAAGTCTTGGTCACATCTGGTGGATGACATCATTCAAGATACCAGCTTCCCAGCCACCAGTGTTATTCCTTGGGACTCAATACAGCTCTAAAACATGTATGGGGGCATTATGGGAAATTTCATATTCAGCCTTTTCTTCCTATATAGTTAACATAATCTGGCCTCTAAATAACCATCAATCTATCTCCAAAAACGTATCCTTCCTGTTTAGATTACTCCTCTTTCCACATCATTCCAGATAGAAAATTTTTCATCAGCAATGTGATGCAATGCTTCATCCTCTGTCTGGTGTGTGTGTGTGTGTGTGTGTGTGTGTGTGTGTGTGTGTGTGTGTGTGCGCATTTGTTTGTGTGCATGTATGGGTGCCTAGTGCAGTCCAAGTGCATGTACCCATACATTTATGTGTGAAGGCTAGAGGAAATTATGTGTTATTCCCTTAAGACAGACCCTCTCACTGAAGCTAGAGATAGTCTGGCAGTCAGCAAGCCTCAGTGTCTCTCCTGTCTTCATACACACACACACACATACACACACACACACACACACACACACACACACACACACCATTCCCCCCCACATCCCTGCTTAGCCCAGCGATCTTTGAGAATCTCTTCAAGCTATCTCCTTCTTCCTTTGACTTAGTATTCTATTGGGCTTGGATGTTGCTGTGGCTTTGACTTTCAGGTTTCAGCCAGAAAGGAATGAGAATGTCTGCATTAAAAGGCTGCTGAGGCAAGCTCGCTCCTTCCAAATCCTCCTAATCCTCCCACCCCTAATCCTCCCACCATCTCTTGATTTCAAGGGAAGTCAGCTTAGCCCTGAAGAAGCCTTAATAGGATGTAGAACTGTCTGTCTATCAGCAGAATCTGGACATTTCCCTCATCTTTTGGATGACAGAAATTTCTTTTGCTTTCTCATGTACCTGAAAATGGCATCGGTGGTCTGTGTCACCCCTTCCCCACTCCAAATGGTATTTTAACTTGCACCAGCTTTGTAGCAGGATGCTCTGTTTACCTGATCACATATGGAATAGTCTCGTAACATTTTTAGGACTGTGTCCTCTCTCTTCAGTGCATGCCAGTTACTCCCGTATAGGCATGGGAGTTTCTAGGGAATCGTTTCTACCTCTCATATTGCCATAAAGGCACTGAGATTACAGATGTGCACTGCAGAGATACCACATCTGGCATTACTGAGATTTTGGGAATCTGAATTCAGGTCTTCATGCTTATACAAAAAAAAAAAAAAAATACTTTATTCACTGAGCCGTGTGCTCACCCTGGCTGGTGATCTCCTGGTATTTCCCATTTCCCTGGCAGCAGGAGTCTGGAGCAGACCCTCTACCACTAGAACTGTCCTCAAATGGATGGGAGCAGATCTGGATTGTACCCAGTTTAGTTATGTTTATCTTTGCTCTGGGAAGGAGCCACTTTATGTTTGTTTGTTTCGAGGCAAGGTTTCTCTGTGTAGTCCTGGCTGTCCTAGAACTCACTCTATAGACCTGGCTGGCCTTGAATTTACAGAGATCTGCCTGTCTCTGCCACCCAAGTACAGGGATTAAAGACATGAGCCACCGCTGCCCACCTAAGCTGCTGTCTTTTCTTCTCACATAACTTCCTTTCATTCAGTTAGTAGGCATGAATCATCAGTCAGGGACAGACCTCTGCCTGGTATCAGAAAGGTCTGCTTCTGAGTACACTCAGCTTTCTCCTTGGGAAAAGGTATTTCCAATGCCTGGTTTGGTGTCTTTCCTCCAGTAATTAAAGGGAAATTTTGGTGCAAAGCACATCTGTGTTCCAACCATCCTGTAGGCTTTAAGGCAAGGTCTGCTTGAGACAAAAATAAGTCAGGGCCAGCAAGATAGCTCAACAGCTAAAGACACTTGCTTCCAAGCCTGGCGACCTGAGTTCAATTCCTAGAACTCACATGGCAGAAGGAGAGAACTAGCTCCCAGAGGTTGTTTTCTGACCTCTGACATGTGTTGTGACACACACGTGTGCACAGACACATGCAGAAATAAATATAAAAACCTTTTGAATGTGTAGCCAAATGCCTCATTGTTACAACCTTTTTATGAATTTATGATTTTGTTGTCCAAACTCCTACTTGTGAAATTTCACCACATTGACCCATCTTGATATCATTGACTGGGGATTAACAACTGGATATTTATTCCATATGATATAGAATCCTGTAGGTTAAGATCTAATGTATGAATGGATTGAAAACTTAGAAAAAAAAATGTAACCTCTCAACACAACTGAGGCACACAAGTTATGTGTGAAAATTGGCACACGCTTTTTGCCCTGCATTTGACAATTAAAACTAACACTAATAATCATTACAAGTATGCCTCACTCAGAATACATTTGGTTCTGAACACAAGAATATATGCTCAATTCTATACTACCAATATACTCTGTGTTTGGGATATCAGGTATAGAAATCCAGGTATTTCTCTGAACTGTTTCTACTTCCCCAGTTCCTGAGCTCAACCATGAGTGGTTTAGGTAGTAAAATTTAGAGAGTGAGGGAATCAAAGAATAACCACTTTTTCTTTTAAGAAGTCTGGTCTTTAGAAGTTGTGCTTGGCTTGGCTATTGCCATCTTCTTGGGGCTTTGAGGTCTTGTAAGGTTAGCAGGCTCAGTACAATGACCAAATAATTATTGCTTGTAGGGAGTACGGTTTTATCTCCCGCTGCCTGGTCTTGTCCTGCCGCCGCGCCAGCCCCAATTAACACACCAAGACTCTGTATTAGATACAATTCTGTTGGCCAGTTACTTGTTTCTTATCGGCTAGCTCTGTCTTAAGTATTAACCCATTTCTATGTATTTCCACGTGGTCTTACCGAGAGCGGAGGAATGGCGGTTCTGTTCTCTCTCATCTCTCCATGTTGACTCTCCTTCATACTTCCTCTTTCCTCCTCGTCTCCTAGTCCCACCTATCTAGCTTTCCTATTGGCCAACAGTGCTTTATTCATTAACAAGTATGAGAAGCATATACAAAATGACATCTCCCATCAATTGCTGACATAAGGCTTTATGCACTCACAAAGTAAACATTTCCTAGTTTATACTCATGGCCTTTGGTAGCTAGTATATCTCTAGGACTTGGTATTTCAAAACTGAAGTCAAGTAGAAGCCAGTTGGGCATACCCCACAAACCCATAGTGGGGGAAGAGATGTTCAAATTACACCTCATAGAGGTAGGAGGGCCATTTCCTAATCTCAGCTTAATGAAGCATGTTTAAATGTTTGAGGCTAAAACAGACTTACTATGAATAGGAAATTTGACCTGTCTCTAGAACAATTCAAAAATATGATGAGAACAAGTAGGGCATTTGAATTTTGTTTCAACTCAGGCAGCAAAAAAAAAAAAAAAAAAATGAACCTTAGTTGACACATGAAAATATGCAGACAAACATGAATATTGAGTCAATGAAAGTGAGTTAAGCATTTACTCTGATGAGCCCAGCAGGGTGAGGAAGAGTAGTGTGCAGCATTGCCTTGCATGCTTCACAGGCACAACCATTATATTGACCCTAAAGAAATATAGGACAATGTAAGATAAACCCAAAACAAAAGTCTTAGCTCTTTGGAGTTGACCAAGGTCTTCCATCTTGTCTCTTGATGTCCATCTTGTTAATTTAACTGTCAAGCCATCCTTGTAGCAGTCTATCTGCTGCTATAAATATGGACTGACTGATAGTGACTTTTTACCAGTTGAAAAAGAGCCGCTTGTTCTCTGAGTTTCTCCTGGGATGTCCTTAGGCTGAGAGAAACCCTGGAGAATAAAACATGACAAGGGAATGAAATGGGTTGGGAGGAGAGAGCAGGGAGAAGAGGAAGGACTAGAATGTGGGCAGCGGGAGGAGATTCAGAGGGCGTGGGGCAATGGCGTCCGTGCTGGGAACAGAAAGCCTGGGAGGATCAGTGTATTTTGGGTAGCAAGGAGAGACAATTGAAAGGAAAGGGCCCTGAAGAGAAAAAGAAAATGATACAGGAAGCCTGGGTAAGACAGGCATGCCATTAAGCAGCATCCAGGACGCCCACGTGCCTATCACCAACACACAGAGAAGAGCAGAGTTCCTGTGTGCCACCTCTCTCTCTCCAGTCCTCATGTGACAAATGTCCCCTGTCTCCTGAGTCAACCCAAAACAAATTTCTATTTTCCCCTAAGATGTATCAATGCCTACCATAGTCCCCTTTGATTATCTGCAGTGCACACCATTTTCCTGCCTGATGCCATGGCTTGTGACCAATTAGTAGGATATTAGCTCAAGGAATGCAAAACAAACTCTTATCAGACTGTGAATGCCCAGTTAACTGAAATAACATAAGCTAATGGGTAACATAAGGGCGAAGGCTCAAGTGTCTTGCCTGTCTTTGCTTACTGGAAGAATGTCCATGAGAAAGAGAAAGTAAAAAAAAAAAAAAAAAAAAAAAAAAAAAATGGTAGAAGAGAACATCTTGCTGCAAACAAAAATGTCAAGTTGGGGCTCTCTAAATTCATCAGAGGGACATAAAAATGCCTTTGTGGGTGATTACAGAAAATTCTTACTGGAAAAGGCACCAACTTGTAGCCATTGAGGCTTTCTTTTCCTTTGACCTCTAGGTAGAAGAGCGCTCAAGACTAAACCGACAGAGTTCACCTGCCATGCCTCACAAGGTTGCCAACAGGATCTCTGACCCCAACCTGCCCCCAAGATCGGAGTCCTTCAGCATTAGTGGGGTTCAGCCTGCTCGGACACCGCCAATGCTCAGACCTGTTGACCCCCAGGTACAATGTCTCTTATGTTCCAGTGGGCACTTGTACCCAGGAAAGACTATTAAAAGTCTAGAAGATTTTAGCATGGCATAAGACCTAAGAAGTAAATACCCTCAGCATGGCATTCAGAGGGACAGAAGCCCCTCTGCATTGAGAGGCCCATGAAAATAGACAGGGAGGTAGAGCTATTGGCCTTGAGTCAACTTCAAAGTCACTTCTTAGTAAACTGGCTTCTGTGGAGACCCAGGCAAGCACTGCAGGATAGAGACAAGCATTCTTGTAGTTACAGGCAGAAGAATTAAAATTCATATATAGACCTCTGAGGTAGACTGTATACACATACTCTCGCCTTCCTTGAAATATGGATGGAAATCTGAACTGGAGAACTCAATGGGCTTGGTGAAATAAGCATGTGCCCTCTGAGGCTGTAGCTCTCCAGGCATGCACCTCAGGCCAGCATCCAGCATGAGCCTGGTAAAAAATGCATGCTCCTGGGTGTGCCTCATGCTTGTTCACCAGCAAGTGGGGGTTGGCCTGGAAGTCTGACTTTAAAAGCCTTCTGGGTTGATTCCCGTGCCCCTTAGAGGCTGGGAAGCACTGTGTGAAGATATTTGGTAGGAAAAGATTACTTCATTATTAGGAAAGAGGCTTTCTGATAAGTTCTGCAAAGTAGAAATTCAAAGTGAAGTAGAATGTGGAAATTCCATGGGGAAGAAGTGTAATACAGCCTTTCTCACATAAACATCTTACATTTCTTCCCAGCACTTCTCCGGTGTATTTTCAGGTCACCTTTGAAATATACACTGCTGTTTGAACTGGAGCTTACATGAATCATAATAAAAAATCAAGGCTCTTATGTGTTTTAAGTTGGTGCTCACAAACAAAATTCAAGATTTCTCAGCTTAGTAGACCTTCCCCTGATTGTTTTTATCTGTATATACCTCTCTCTTGCAGACTCTTCAAAGGGGGACATTTTACAAGGGTTTCCCTTCTTTTTAAAACCTTCAAAGTTTGACCTTATAATGAAACTTTGCCCAACTAAAGGGGACATTGTGGGGGAAATTCCCTTCTGAAACAATAAGGAAATAGGAGTAGATTTCTATGGAACCATTCTTTGGGTGCTTCAATGTTTAGGGGTGCTTGGGATGGTCTGCTAACTTGAGTATGTGTTTTGTACTAGATACATTAATGTGCTTTGCTTTATGTTATATTATGAATATAATATATTCAGCATGGACATTACAAGGTCTATTCCAGCTGGAGCACAACACTCAAAGAGCAGAGCTCTGAGGATTTTCTTGCCTGTCACTATAACATTCCAACAGAAATTACCAACCAAAGAGCGTTTGGCAGGTCATTGTACAAAGCCAACGGGAAATCAATACTGCTTGAATTAACAGTTTAATTTAGGAAGGGGTCTAGATCACTTTTTTCCAAGCCATGATTTATGGACCACAGGTCAGACCCAGAGATAGCCTCAGACTCCAAAGAGCACAGTGTACGTGTACACCCTGAGATAAGGCAAGCTTCAATATTCACAAAGTGGAGTGGCACATGAGCAGGGCCGTGGTGACAGGGTCCCTTGTATCTTGATTTGGGTGATTTTTCTTAAGAGGCTTCCAGAAGTCATCCCTGCATGAACAACTGCACTGAATGCCCAAATGTTGAAATAATTCCTCAAGAAACATCCTGGTATCAGGGGATGGAATATATTCTCAGTGGTGACAGCAGGCCCTGGACAAGTCAGGACACTGCAGCTTCTAAGGAGATGGCCCATTCAGTAAAGTCCTTGCCATGCAAGGACCCAAGTTCAGTTCCTAGAACACACATAAAAAAGCCAGGCATGGTAGTGCATGCTTGTAAAACTAGCACAGGGGGAGTGGGTTCAGGAGAACCCTTGGGGCTTGTTGGCCAGCCAACTTAGTCAAACTGGCAAGTTCCAAGCCTGCTTCAAACAAAGTGAGGGCCATTTGTGGCTCAAGCCTTTAATCCCAGCTCTCAGAAGACAGAGGCAGGTAGATTTCTATGAGTTGTTAAAAGCCAGTCATAACTACACTGAGTTCCAGGCCAGCCTGAGCTACACAGAAAGACTCTGTCTCAATAAAAGAGGAAGAGTGGGAGAGAAAGGGAGGAGGGAGGGAGGGAAGGAAGGGGCAAGGAGAGAGGAAAGGAGAGAAGGAGAGAGGAGGGAGGGAGAGTCACACAGACTATAAATGCTCTGAAGTTGACCTCTGGCCTCTAAACATACATTTGCACCCGCATACAAACACACATACACACACGCACACACGCACGTACACACGCGCACACACACACACACACACACACACAGGTCAGGGGAAAGACACATAAGGAAGGGATGAATACACTACAGTAGTTAAATACATGGGCTCTGGGAGTGGAACTCTGGCTTCCAGCTACAGTGACTTAATCTCTTTCCACCAGAGATTGGCCATATCTGAAAGAAGGCTGGTTGTGTCTACTTCAGGGTGGACACAGTTAGTTCAGAGATGGAAAGACATTTAATTTAGAGCATGTCTTCTCCCATAAGGCACTCGTAGCTAAAGTCAAAGATAAGGACTGTACAAGAGAGAACTTGGGATAGCTTAGAAAACAGCTTGTGTTACTGTCCAGGAAATGTTGAATAAATATAACTATTTTTGCTACTACTCTACTACTTTACCATTCCCCGACTTCTCAGCAGTTCTAGCTAATACACAGAGCCTGTTGCCAGGATCCCCGAGTTAGTCCTAAGTATTTTCTAAATTGAAGATTCTGAAGGGCTGTGAGAACCATGCTGTGTAGCCTGTGTAGCAGGAGTGTCTCAGCCTGAGACTGGCTTATTCCAAGTATAATTATTGCTAACTAAAAACCACCTGTCATTAGCTTTGATGGATTCAATTCCTTTTTACAAAACTCTCTGTACCTTCAACCTATGGGCTTCTAATAATGCTGGCCTATGTTGTGTGTTTAGATCCCACAGCTGGTAGCTGTCAAATCCCAAGGACCTGCTTTGACGGTCTCCCAGTCAGTGCATGAGCAACCCACAAAGGGCCTGTCTGGGTTCCAGGAGGCTCTGAACGTGACCTCTCACAGGGTTGAGATGCCACGCCAGAACTCGGATCCCACCTCGGAAAATCCTCCTCTCCCCACTCGCATTGAAAAGTTTGACCGAAGCTCTTGGTTACGACAGGAAGAAGATATTCCACCAAAGGTAGCATCTGTGTTCTGTATGTCTGTCCCTACCATCACCTCCAGCATCTGCGCTGTGGTGTATCTGGGTCAATGCCGCTACCATCAGCATCCTCCATGCTGTGATGTGTCTGTCACTTCTGCCACCTCAGCACCCACCACTATTCCATCCCTTTCACAGTTTGGAGAACATGACTATGGCTAAGCACGTCCCTTCTCATACTTGTCATTGTCCCTTCTCTAAGTTAAGTCTTGGATAGTCATTTATCATTTCTGATTGCCCCCCCAATGGGGGCAGAGATTCAGTAGGATTGACAGGGAAGTGTGTGTCTTCACATAGAATTAGAACTCTCAACACCAAACACCCTAAGTCATTGTGCTCTTCACGCTAGAAAATAGACTAGTGGGTATTTTCGACAGTTACTGCCTCTATAGCTAAACAAGCCAAATAAATAAAAGAAAATTCACTTACTCTTACATTTAACAACACAAAACTCAACCAGATGTCAAAGATTCAGAATATGGTCTGGGAACTGGGGAAATGAAACTCAGTCAGTAAAGTGCTTGCCACACAGACATAAGATCTGAGTTCAGGACTACAGCACTCATGTAAAAGCCAGGCTTGGGGACACATGTCTATTACCCTAGTCCTGAGGAGGTGGAAACAAGAAGATCTATGACCAGAAAGTCTAGCTAAATTGGTGAGCTCCAGATTCTCTCTCTCTCTCTCTCTCTCTCTCTCCCTCTCTCTCTCTCTCTCTCGCACGCATGCACACACATACACACACGCACATGGAGAGAGACAGAGACAGGAAGAGCAGAGATATTGATGAAGATACACAGCGTTGAGGAAGATACACACATATGAGAACACATATGTACAGACACACAGGCTTGTCTTGCCTTTAGGCATTTCAGTTAGGAGGTGCTCCTTCTAGACTAACAAGTACTATATTTGCAGCCTTAATTACAGAGAACTGAACTATAGAGGGAAATGACTAGCTTCCCCACTCTACACAACAACCTTGAACTCTTTTGTTTCCTTTTACATTGCTAAACTGTTATTTGTTCCCAGCAATGTTCTGGAATGTGTCTACAGCCAACCTGGTTGTCTTTAAAATGCTAAAGACATTTCTGAAACAGAATTTTCCTGGACCATGGATGTCTTTTCTTCTGAGCTCGGTATATGAAGCTGTGATAATTAGAATGTCCCACGATTTCCAGAAAATATTGCTACTATTAATCCCAGGAAAAATAAAGTAGTTCTTAATGATTTCCAAACAATTATCGCCTCCCTCTCAAGTGGAACCCCAGCAGGACTGCCATTATTTTGACAATGGAGCAGTGTCAAGGCTTGAGACCTGCAAGAGGAAGTGCCTGACCCTCTACAGGTGACAGGTGGGAAGCTGGGAACTGACACTGGGTCAGTTGAAATACTCAGGGTGTAGTCACCTACTGAGCATGTCTCTACAGATGTTTTTATTTACAAGAGGAGAAGGGGATAACAGGTGTTAGGCCAGTTTGAATACTTTGTTTTGCTTCCCTGATTCCATTTTGTGTTAAAATGAATTATCATAAAATATTTTTTCACAATAGATAAAGGTTGACACATTGAAAGTCATCTTCTGCATACATATCTGTGTGTTTCTTATAAATAACAGACTCCTTTTCATAATACCTGACCCCACAAGCAGTAGTCTGGACGCTTTTTGACAGAAGCCACATTTGAATTCTATTCTCTGCTTTTCCTGGTTGAGTTAGTAATACACACATATACTGTCCTTCCCAGCTTTATTATTCTCACAGAGGTATTTTAAAGAATCTTCTAGTATTTCAGTATTAATTCTGTTTAATAAAAAGCATTTACTAGTTAACCACAAAAACGCAATGTTTGAAGAGTGGGGTCTTAATAATAGCAGCTTTCTTGGGAAGTATAAAAGTCTATGTTTCCATGATATAAAAGAGATAAGAGCTGGAGAGAGCACCCAATGATTAGAGCACTTCTGCTCTTGAGAGGACCTTGGTTCATTTCCCAACACCCACATTGAGTAGTTCACAACTACCTGTAACTCCAGTTCTAGGAGATCTGATGCCTTCTCTTAGCTTGCCTGGACACCCAGCACATATGTGTTATCCATACACCCAGCACATATGTGTTATCCATCCATAAATGCAGGGACTCACACAAATATTAAAAATTAAATAATTAAGTGATAGGTTCTTCAGGCTCCCCAGCTGTGACTTATTGTCCAAGGTCTAGACTGGTACCTTAGCTTTTCACTAGAGTTCATAATCTATTTGTTGTGATGAGCCAAAGTGATATGTGGCCTTCTCTGTTCAGTTCCCACCAACTGGGCTTCCACGGAAGTAAGGGTGTCACTCCAAAGAGGTTTCTCCTAGCTACAACTCTTGTCCAAGCAAGAGGAGGTAGTTTCTTGTAGCTCAGTAAATCAAGGTCATTAGTGCAATCCCTTTTGTTTTTAAGATTAAAGTGACTTCAGTGGCCATGGAACACACCTCCTTGACTTTTGCCAGGAGGTCGTCCTTTGGTTTTGTTTGGGATTTCCTGTTCACTGAAGGGTGGAGGACAGGTTCTTCTGTAGAGGAGGCAGCTTCTGTAACTTCTAGCCAGTCTTCTGAAAAGAAAAGACTTGTCAGACAGTAGCCTACTTACACTGTGTTATGGGAAATATTTCTCAATTCCCATTTTCTTCCAGGTGCCTCAAAGAACAACTTCTATATCCCCAGCATTAGCCAGGAAGAATTCCCCTGGGAATGGCAGTGCTCTGGGCCCCAGACTCGGATCTCAACCTATCAGAGCAAGGTAAGGGGAGGGAGGTCACCATGCTTATCCAATATACCTGCTTTCTGAAAGAACATCCCAGATCTTTTCTTCACTGTACACCTGTCACCTGAACTATCAACTTTGATGGCCTTTTGTAATTTCAGTGTGACAGTTTTTAAAATCTGGGCACAAACTTAGACATATAGATGTGGTTGTGGTATTGTAACCAATTTCTCTGTAGACCATTCATGGAGCCAAAGGAAATCAGAGTTGAATTACAGCACCTGATCAAGAAATGTACACCAAAAACCACTGAAGCATCACAAAACTCTTGCCTAAGAAACAGAAAGCAACCTTGGAGATTCTATAGCGTGGTCCTGACAGAACCAGCACTGATGAGGAAATCAACCCAGTGGCCTTATGGAGGGCCTCAGAAATGCAGTTATGCTTCCATGATTTACTATACGTTCTTTCAGGGTTTCCCATCTAGTGCATATTCCCATAATCAGGAGGTCGCATCCAGCTTCCGCTGGTTGGTGCAGAGGCCTCAAAGGATGCTGAGAAGTAAACAGTGTCTGCGCAGTATCCAGGCAGACTTTATGTGGCAACAGATGCTGTTTGTTGCTGTTGTTCATCAAGTCTCCCTTGGATTTGTCATGATGAATGCATTCTTTTTTAGGAGCCACAGAAATAGCAAGTGGCCTCTGCTGTGGCTTTAAAAAGGATGCACTAGGGCAAGCTGCTTTCTTCTTCACTGTGTTCATGACCATGACGAGAGAAAGACTAAAGAGGGAAGGAGGAGAGTAACAGAGGGGGCACTTATAGTTTTGTTTGTATACAGAATGCTTTTGATCACGTTCTCTTTTCTCTTCCCTTGAAAGGCCTTAGGAAGGGGTCCTTCCCAAAAGGAGCAGGCACTCCATTCAGAATCTCTTTAGGGGGAAGACCCCTGCTTCGTTCTAAGTGAAGTTATAAATTGAAAGAGTCTATGAACCCCTTGTTCTCCTACGGCTTGTCAGATCTGTGCCTAGCTGCTGTGACCAAGCAACCCTGGGTTACCTGGAAGGTGCTGCGGCCAGGGAACAGAGGCATGCTAGCACTGGACACAGGCTAAGCTTTATCAGTCCCTCTGTTAAAGTCCTCAGATATCAGCACCTCCTGACCTTTTGCACCCTGTCCTGGTCAGTTGCTTGGATTCTGGCTGCTTAGATGAAGTATCATTGCAGGCTTAAGTACTTTTCTGTCAACCAAAAAGAATAACCTGCTGTTATAGTCAAGTGGGAAGCAGCTGTTTAATTCCTCTGAGATGTTGTTTTTAACAACATTAGGGCCTAATATAATGGGTATTTGATGGGCAGTAACTTATAAAAGTAAGGGTGTCCCTTTGACACACTTAAATACTTTGTTTTGTGCTAAGATAGTAAACCTCCTGAGAGACCACCAGGTCTGTCTACTTACAGAAGAGAGGACATGAGCTAAGGGTTTGCAGTTAACCACCTACATTGTGCATCCAAATATCTGGGGTGAGAGCATGGAGACTCTCCATGTCTTCATGCAAGACAATCCTCAGAACACCTTGCTTCTGACAACATTCACCTCCACATAACCAGCACTTAGAATGTGAATCACAGGCTGGTGAGATGGCTCTTAGAAGTGCTGAAAGGCAGCTGCTGCATAAGTCTGGCAACCTGAATTTCTTTCCAGAACCCATACAAAATTAGAAGGGGAGAACCCACAAAGTTGTCCTCTGACCCCCACAAGCTTTCCATGGTATGTGGAGACACCAATGTCCAGTGTCTCTCTCAATGGCCCTCCATCTATTTTCTGAGCAAGGTCTCTCACTAAACCTAGAGTTCACTGCTGCAGCTAGGGTGGCTGGCCCTCAAGCCCCTGAGATCCTCCTGTCTCAGCTTCCCCAAGACGGGATTACATGTGGTGCTACTGCACTTTCCAGGTGGCTACTGAGGCTCCAAATTCAGCCATTCATTCTAGCCAATTACAGTAAGCTCCAGGCCAATTGGGACCCTGTCTCAAAAGATATGGACCACTCCTGAGGAACACCACCTATGGTTGTACTCTGCCCTCCATAAACACGCATATATACACTCATCTACATGCACACAAACTCTACATACATGTACGTAGGCATTATTTTTAAAAAGCAAGGTTTCTCTCCTCTTTATGAACAACTTTGGAACCCAGAGTTCAAGATGGTAATGCTTCAACAAAGTAGGCCCCTGGTCCCTGAGACACCACATGGAGAAGAAGCCCCAGGGAAAGTGGTCCTCCTTGTCTGATGTGACTAAGAAACAAACTGTGTGCAAAGTGAGCATAAGAGGAAAGATGTTTGTATTCTGTTTCCTTCATTTATAATAGTGGATCCCAGATCGTAGGGGCAAGATGTCATATAGTAACTGTCAAGTGTGAGATGCTCCATAATGATTTGAAGATGGGTTTGAATCAATAGTAACCATGGAGTACCCTGAATGGAAGAATATGGAATCAGGGTGTGCACTAGAGTGTGTGTAGCTAATACAAACAAGTCAGAACCTTAGTATTCCAGGTACACTTCATTCTCCAGGAATATTTCTCCATTGTCTTACTCCTTTACTGTGCTTTAAGAACAGTGAGTACTTGTGGACAGGCCTTTCAGGACCTTGTCTTCTGTTCCTGATGCAATTTATATTCATTTTAGTGTTCAATAAATACCTCTTGAAGCACTATGCATGGTATAGTTTTAATTGCATTGCAAATACTCTTAAATTGTGTGTGTGTGTGTGTGTGTGTGTGTGTGTGTGTGTGTGTGTGTATGTGTGTGTGTGTGTGTGTGTTGGTCAGAAAACAGCTTAGTGGATTTGGCAATCCGTGGGTTCCAGGAATTGAACTCAGGTTGCCACAATAGGACAGCAAGTGTCTTTACCCACTGAGCCATCTTGCCAACTAACATTACAAATATTGACTATTTAAACCATTAGTGATTTTGAAACAATGATTTTCATCACCCTCATCTTATAGATGAGAAGCTGAAGTAAACAGAGCTCATACAAATATCCCAGTGTGTCAAAGGAAGAAGTGGTGGGCCTGGGATTTGAACTCTCCTAGTCTGTCTTGGGAACTCACTGATTGACAGTACACCATTTTGTCTCTACCTTTCTCACACTGTAGTTTGTAGGACTGTTACCAGTCCCTCCTAATTTTGAAGGCATTTATCTTTGCCTTGTTGCATTCACTGTCTTTTAAAAGATGTGACTCTATAGAACTTACTTGTATCCTAAATGCTTCCTCACTCACATAGGAACAGCAGCATCTCATACTTTTGACAGCTCCCTCTCTAGGGGTAAAGGTGGGCTGTCACAGTCTTCTGCCCAGGAAGCTGGGCATTGCTTAAGGTCAAACCCCACAGGCAGATCCCAGCTGCTTCTAGATGCCAATGGCCTCATCCTATGAGGGTGATCAGGAGAGTTTAAATAAAGGTTGTAGTCGATCATGTAAAAATATTGCTATTTTAAACTGCTAGGCACTTTAATATTTAGCTTTGACTCATGTGTTCTTCTTAAACCAAATTAAAATTTGCTCAAACAAGTACTTTTGAAAAATGAAAAAATTTAAATTAAGCCAGAAACACCCTGTCTAAAAAGAAACAGTGACTAAATGTTTAATCTCAGAAAATAATTCCCTGTCCCATCCCAAACATATCGTCTTATGACTAGCTTTTTCTTATTGACCATGTCATCAAAGAACAAAGTAAAGAGAAATTTGGCAGTCAGCCATTTAATTAAAGACTTGGCCCAAGGCTTTGGACACAAAATCACTTTGTAATCCTCATTTTTTGTTTTGACTTTTTATACAATTCAAGTAGATAGAATAATTGCCATATATTCCCTCAATGTTTGTCTTATTGAGCAAACGTCATTGTTTGCTGGATAGAGAAAGTGTGAATTAAAAGTTAGCATTTAAAGAAATGTATTTGGAAGTTTTGAAGTTCCTACATGCTTGGATCCAAGTAGTCTTAGTTACTATGTAAAAAGGGAAATCTGTTATTTGGTGGAATTTTGAAGTTGAACCTTTATGAGCATCTATTTCAGACCCCTTAGCCCATAAGGCAGATCATACACATATAATAAGGAAGAAAAAATCATATGGCATTTTATCACATTACCCTTATTTTTAAGAAAAAAGAAGTAAAGTAGAAAAGACATTAAGTCCCCCTATTTCTCTGTATGGTTATAGAGACACTGAATATTTCTTTTAGTGTTCAGCAGCAAGAATGGCAATCAACACCTGTGACAGTGAGCTAGAGTAGAGAGAGCTTGTGCTAATGAGACCTAAGTAAGGAATTTCATGCTCAAGGGATCTAATTAGCCTCACATAGGAAGAAGCTCTAAACTTCATCAAAGACACATGTGCATCCCAGATAGTTGTACCAATAGCCAGGGCCCCTAATATGCCCACAGCCCTCTGTCTGTGCTTTTCTCCTAGCCAGACATCCACAACTGGGCCCATGGAGGCAGGTAGCAAGCTTTAAGAGCCAGTGTTATCCAGCCACGCTTTCTTCCAATCAGCTCACTTCTGTTTCCTACCACAGACTTGGCTAACTGCCCTGCTGGCCTCTGCTTAACATCCATCCATATGCACAAGAAAGATAGCAGCTTTTGTCGATACTCAAACTATGTTCAGACTTCCTGACTTGCTATATACCAAATCCCTCTATGCCTCACTCCAAGACATGCATGAATTTCCACAAACACCAATGGCATTTATAGTCTCTTTTCACATTGCTTTCAGAGTTGCTATTAACTCTTAATTCTTGTGTCTACTACATATGTCTCGTTGCCATGGCAATGGTGTCACTTGACTGGATACCTATTGGCCTTACCTTCTCCAGTCCTTATCTCATCTTGATCCAATAATACTCAATTTAGATGTGATTTGACAATATTTTGACTGAAGCATCCAAGGAAAGCTAAATAGAACAAGTAACTGAATGCAGTCACAACAGCACGGCTACCTTAGGGAACATTTCAGAGCATGTACCACAACCATGCTCTCAATGTGTTTTTTAGTACAAAGACGATGACATCATCTTTCCACAAAATCAAGCAATATAAGAAACTTTGATGAGATCCACCACTCTTGGTCTATAACATACTTGATAAGTAAAAAAATTTGACAACAAATAATTTAGTAATTTATTAATAATCCCCTGACCACCACTGTTTCATAAAAGAGAGCAGTAGGGGAGAAGCCATTATATGATGGTTAGGAACAATTGTTTTCTATGAAAAATAACAAGCTTATCATGTAAGACACTTGGGAAAGAAGCATTGGTCATTTTGAGTATTTTCTAATTTAGGGGTATTTGAACATGGGACCCAAATTTAATTCAGCCCCTTAAATACAAACAGTTATCAAAAAAAATAATTATGCTCCATTAAAGAGTACCATTACTATAACAAGAATTCTTGGTTTTCATGAGCTTTACCAACAGTCACTCTGCAGTTGGCCTTACTATTAAGTTAGTGCCCACTTCCCACAAATGCCATAAGAATAAATATTGTCATAAATTCTAAATCCATATCATCAAAAATGGTTATTTTTACATAAAAATTGCCACTGAAGGTAGCCATGGTTGTTAGCCACTTCTACTTAACCATGAATTGGGCAGATATGTTACCACAAAGCAAGATGTGTTTTACAAGTATGTATGAAGATTACAAAATGAAGCCCATTATTTCTGTGTGCTATCTTTTTAAAAGCCAACTAAGCTGGTGTACACAGTACTCTTGAGCCGGTCAGAGCAGACAAAAGCATAAGCAACGCCTCCTGCATCAGAACACTGTGTTGCAAGGAATCCACTCCCAGAAATGTCCAGGGAGCTGAGAGAACTAGAGATGGCGGGAATAAGGGAAACAGGGCCCTGTTCACTTTCCCCTCTCAGCAAATGGCTGGCAGCAGACTGGAGGTTTGACTCTCAAGTAGCACTCATTACCCCTGCCAGAACCAATGGGATGTTAATTGTAAAAGGGAAGAACTTTACAGAAACTTTAAGAGTGCCATTTATTGGTTTTTAACAAAATCATAAAAACTTTAACAACTGTCTTCCACCACCATTGCTAGATGGGTCTTCTCTTCCCTCTTCAGTCTATATGATGGGTTATTTTGTAGCCAGCACTTTTCAGAGCATAATAAAATGTTCACCATACTGTGTTAGAAAGAAAAAAGTAAGACACAAAATTGAACATTTGATAATTTGCCAATAGTAAAATACAGTTGACTATTTCCTACCTTAGGAATGTGTTGCTCCTTATTTCCCTTTTTGTGTATTTTAAGTTCTTTACAATGAATATTGGATGAACTATTTAAAAGAAAGTCTCCTCCTAGGGTTCCCCATCTCAGAGCTGGTATTATAGTGTATTGACCTAAGAATTGAGTTTGGAGCTCATCCCCATCCTTCTCCAGCATCTACCCTTTCAGCAGCTAGCTATAGCTCTACCAGAAAGGCATATCAATAGCAAGTCACCCACAGCCTTATTAATGTATTACAAAATTAAAATTGCATAAATGTATATGTATCATGTGATATTTTGATAGATGTATAAATTTTGAAGTGAACTCAAATAGTTACCATATTTGTGATGAGAACACATGGAATCTACCTTAAAGCTGGTTGTAGTGTTGCAGTAATCTCTGTAATGAGAACTTTTCTCAAAATAATCCTATTTTAAGCATACATATTAAGCAAAGGTACCACAGTGTACACTAGATCTTGAAAGCATGTTCATCCTGTCTAACTGAAATCTTTCTTTGCTTGACATCTCCTTGTCCCACTTCAAACCTTACAGCTACTAATAATCCACACCGTACTCTCTGCTACTCTGAGTTGTGCTGTCCATATATAAGTGAGATCATGCAGTGTGTGTGTTCTTGTGTGGTTAACATATGTCTAGAATATATATATGCACTACATATATAAAAAATACATCACATTTTCTTACCCAATTGTGCATCAGTGGATATATGCTGATTCTATCTTTTGTTGCTACAAATAATGCACCAATGAATGCATCCATCTCTTCAACACAATGACCTCATTTCCTCTAGATATATAACCAGAAACAGTACTGTTGGGTCATGTTGCAGCCCTGTTTATAATTTTGGAGGAATCTCCATAATGTCTTCCATAATGACTTTGCTAATTTGCATCCTACCAACAGAAGACAAGGATTTCCTTCCCAGCACCCTCAGCAGCAATGGCTGTCATTCCTCTTTATGAAAAAAAAAACATTTTAGTAAGTGTAAAGTAATGCTGAGCATTTTTGTATATGACTTGTTGTGTGTCTCTATCTTAATGTCTCTTCAGGTCCTCAGCTGATTTTTAAAGTCTGGTTGTTTGTTTTCTTGTTACTGACTTGTTAAGTGAGTGTCTTGTATATTTTGGATGCTGACATGTAGCCACTGTGTTCTACTGTCCATGCAGCAATCCTGACCTCCGCAGAACAGAGCCTGTCCTGGAGAGTCCATTGCAGAGGACCAGCAGTGGCAGTTCCTCCAGCTCCAGCACTCCCAGCTCCCAGCCCAGCTCCCAAGGAGGCTCTCAGCCTGGGTCACAAGCAGGGTCTAGTGAACGAACCAGAGTTCGGGGTAAGTGTTCTCTTAACTGTCCCCATACTTCTATTCCTAGGAGGAAAGCCACAGACAGAAAGGAGTGGTTACTTTCCAACTCTGACAGCAAGATGGCCACCGTTGTGTGGAACTAAAGATTATCTGGTGTCTTGTGCTTGTATCTGCTGAAGGGACTGGGCTGCCATCCCTAATTGTGCATATGACATCAGTAGAAACAACAATCCAGGAAAATATCCAGTAGTAGTCATAGTGCAAAAATGTACTAACTTTCCAGTTCCCCAAATGTCCATTTCCTTTGATCCCTCATTTTCAGTTTCATGCACCCCTCTGCCTTGTTCCCATGGTGCCAAACAATTCTTTCAGGGTCCCAAGCATGCATCATAACCTTAGGTATTTCTCAAAATGAAATTTCCTAAATGTCAATATAAAATAAATACACGAGAGAGAAGACAAACCCTTTGCTGCCTTAAGGCATATGGTTGATTCTTCTGGTTGTTCCCATTAGATAAGTAAAAAATATAGCCTAATATTTAGTTTAAAGCATTCATCATTGCTTAGTTGTCACTAATGAAGAAACCTATGGAAAGATTATAGTACAATTAAATAATACCTAGAAAAACTCTATTTTAACTAGTCAAAATACATTCTTTCTGAGTCACCTTCTTCAGAGGATAAATTTGTTCACAGTAAGTAATACCAGACTTTCTGAAGTACAATTTGATAATTAGAATATGCTGGTAAGTCACTCTCCCTAAAGAAAACCACCAGTTCCTTAGTAGACACAACCATAATTTACCTCCTCTACTAATCTTCTAGATTTCAATTTAGTAAAGTCTCTGTATATCCAAAATTTTAAAGCTTGAAATCTAACATTTGATACCCATGACTGTGAGCTGAGATGTGGGCTGTCCCATCACTGACTCAGTATCCCTCTGAGACCAGTGGCCTATACCAGAGTGTCATGTGCCTTTGTAGCACTGATTCAGACATACATTTTCTTACTCTAGAAAACTGCCATCCCCCTAGAAAAAAATTTCCCCCCACTGGAGTCTTTGCATCTTTAAAAAAAATCATAAAGAAAGTCAAATTGTACATACCATTTTAATTCTCAGACCTAGTTTGGAATTAACTCTTATATTCTTTCCTTCATCCCCTACTTTTCTGGTTATGAGTACCCGAGAAAGACAACTTTCAAACCAAACAAGAGATTGTGAGCTTCCCTGCTTCTCTACCTATGACATAAATGGTGTGGCTGCTATCACTGGCTGCAGGGAGCCTCCCCATCCTTGTTCCACACCTCAATTCCCAGGTTCTTTACCTTTATCAACCCCTCCCTGATCTTTCTTTCTTTCTTAAGGTCTCACATCACTTTTCAGTCCCTTTTTAAAATCATTCCATTGAATGAAACTCTTTTCTTTCTTCAGAAACTTCCTCAGAATAGCCTGTTCTGATGAATAGATGATAAAAGAAGAAAACAAGCCTAAATTTCAATTTATAAGCTAATTTGAAACAATGATTAAGGGGACTTTAGAAATTCAGAAAGGATCCCAACTAAATCCACAGCTTCACTGTCACCTTGGGCTAAGGGTATCATCTCTGAGTCTGGAGAATAAGAAAATAGTGCTGCACCATTGAGTTAGAACAAAGATTAATTGCAATAATCGACAGAGAAAGCATTTGGTGCTAATTAATTGCAATAATCGACAGAGAAAGCATTTGGTGCTGTGCCTAATATGCAATAAGCACTTTACTTGACCATACATTTTCATTTTCACTGTTGACTTCTCGGCCTCAAACCTTTTTTTTTTTTTTTTTGTCTGACTTTGTTTTTTGAGTGACTGTTGTTTTTGCATGGATAGATATGGATTTGCCTAGTGAGTAGACCCTCCATAGTCACTCACTCAGAATGTAAGGCAGCCTTTTCTAATGGTCATGTCGTGTCTTTCTTGTCCCTGTTTTTTTTTTTTTTTTCTTCTAGCCAACAGTAAGTCTGAAGGATCACCTGTGCTCCCTCATGAGCCTTCCAAGGTGAAACCTGAGGAATCTTCTAGAGACATCACCCGGCCTAGTCGACCAGCTGTGAGTGCTTTTCTAACAATTTTCATCTCTTCACTTACCTGAGAATCCTGAAATAAGGTAGTTGGGGTTACATTCATGACTGAAAGCAAAACCTTGATGGATCAATAAAAACACTGTATGGTAGAAGCATCTGGAAGGAAGTCATATATGACTGGGGAGAACTGAATACAACTTGGCCTGCTACTCTTCCACTGACTTTGAATGCTGTGTTGTTCACCAGCAGTCCTGTAAAAAAAAATAAATAAAGGAAGGAAGACAAATTGCTCACACCATCCCACAATATTTGCTCAGCACTTTGACATAAACATGTCAGAAGTAGCAGTTAGGGACACTTATGTTCTTCCTGTGAGTTGCTGCCATCCATTCCCCACACTGGTTTTCATATGAACTAACATCACAGACATCTGCTACTGTTGATCCCAAAGATCAGAAGAGAAAGTCCACCAACTTAAATCATCATGGCCAAATTAATTAAAGTGAGCTTTTTTATTTGTGTACATGGACTGCCTCAGTCAGGATTTGAGAGATCGATCAGCAGTGGATGTGAGGAAGATGAGGCTTTTATAGCTCAGGGGTAGGGTGAATCTGGCGGGCAAAATAGATATGATTCCAGGAGCAGAACCTCATAACAAGCTAATCCTAACAACCTCCTGAAATAAAGACATGATTGCAGGGTAGGCATAACAAGGTGGTCATAACAATAGGTAGTCATAGCAAGGTAGTCATAACAAACCTTTTGAAACAAAGTCAGGGTTACAAGATGGTTATAAACAACTTTTTGAAACACAGACATGGTTGCCATTTCGGGAACAGGCAGTTCAGAACCATTTGTAATTAAGGTTACAGGTGGGGCACAGCCCAGTCCTTGAGAAACAGATTTAATCACAAAGAGGAATGAACCTAGCATATCTTTACTGTAAGAAAATTTTTAAGCTTAAGATGGAAGCAGATTGGTTCTTCACTACTTGTCATGCCTTATGGACTAGTCTTTTCTGCACCAAAACTTAGTAAGTGTGGTGTGACACAGGGTCTGGAGACTTGAAATCCAGATTCATTGCTGGAACATGAAGGACCCAAGTGTATAAACTGGGGGTTTCAGCATCAGGGGTATAAACTGAGGGCTGACTAAGCCATGATATAGTTGAGGAGACAGTTTCTACTGTAGATATGATGGAGAATACAGCCAGAGGCATGTGGAAGAGTCCAGAGCAGGGAGAGAAAGTACACTGAACATGGCCAGCAGACTGGACTGTGTCACAAGAGTAGGGCAGGGATAATGAGAGGGCAAAGGGAGTGCAGGCAGAAGACCTAGAGAGAGGGGGGCCAAGAGGGGAAGACAAAAGAGAGCATATGGCTGAAATGTCAGCTATATGGGAATAGGAATGGGAAGAAGGCAAGACCATGAGCTGGAGAAGTTTGGGGTAGGAGACAGGTTGAGAAGGGCCATAGGTATCTATGACACTAAGGGAGTCTGGAAGGCTAGTAGACACCATAGATAGCCATTTGTCCCTTCTGGCTGGTGCCTGAGTTTGGGGGTATGCAGTTTCCTTTGGACCTGTGGCAAGAAAGGAAGGAAGAAAGGAATGAAGGGAGAGAGGGGGGAGAGAGGGTGTGAGTGTGAGGGAGGGAGGAAGAAAGAAAGAAAGAAAAACTGAATGAATGAATGAATGAATGATGAATGAATATGGGATATAGTTCAGTGCTCACTCTGCACTCATGAAGCCCTGGATTCGATCCCCAGCACCGCATAAAATTAATATTTTATTTTTATAACACTTTAATATTAGTGTGTAAGAGAATCAGAAGTTCAAAGTTGTCTTTGGCTGAAAAACTGAGTTCAAGGCCAGCCCAGGATACATGAAACTCAAAGAGGAGAGGAGGGGAGGAGAAGGGAGGGGAGGGGAGGGAAGGAGAGAGAGGAGGAAAAAGAGCATGCTGACTCAAAGTAGAAAGTTAATTTAAACATTCTGAGACACTGTCCTTGAATGAATGTCTCTCATTTGCTGCTCTTTTCATCTTAAAATGAGGAGGATGCTAAGCAATAATGAAGGGAAGTTGCATTGCTATGGCTTGAGCTTCTCTTTGTCCATTTGTCTGTGTTAGTTTCCAACTAACAATGCTGATTTTGTGTCTAACCTGCTTCTTTTCTTCTGGCTTTCCCTACCTGTGGACTCTTCTGGACTGGGTCCCTCTTGTCACAGAGCTATAAAAAAGCTATAGATGAGGTCAGTATCGCTTTTTCTTGCTCATGCTTTCACAAGATGTGGCTATGAAACCCATTTCCCGATGTTGACATAGAGGAAAGGAGGCCAGCAGGATTAAGGGAAAAGCCCTGGGATATGCAGCCTTGTTTGGGGAGGAGAGTCCCTTCAACAGAAGCCAGCTCAAGACCCTCAGATGCACCCGTAAAGAGCTTTAGGTCCTTCACTAAGCAAAAGTATTGCTTTCCCAATGTCCCAACTGGGCAAACAAGGGCTATCAGTGTTTTGTTAATGGCATTGTTTCTCCTTCCAGCACTTTCTAATAACAAGCCTGTTTTCAGCGTCCTTGCTAGGACATGGCTTTCAGTGGTTTTTACTAACAAAGCAAAGAGACATAATCCTAGCACGCCTCAAACTTATAGTGTGTGATTTGTGAACAAGGAGCCACTAGGTATTATTAGACTAATGTTGTGGGGCAGTCACAACACCACAAGCAACATAACCCTTCACTACTGGGCTGGGGCAAGGTGAGTGATCTAGTTCCTTATCTGTGGAGACATTGGAGACATTTTTTCTACTAGAAAGGCACATGGCTTTGTCCCTTGTAGATAGCTGAGGATGGCCCCCTCACTGCTGTCAGGCCTGCATGAACACAGCACAGTGCAGTGGTCCCAAACAGGCAGGCCTTGCAGAGTCCCAGATGCATGGAATGTGAGGCTCATGGCTGTAGTTCTGCAAAGTCCATTTTTGGGGAATCATATGGAAAAAGCCTCAGCTTTGGGGATCAGCAAGCCACATTTGAAGTTTGGCTCCCCTCAATGAATGCTCACTAGGATAAGTCTCATAATCTCAGTCAGATTTCTGGGGATAAAAATATCTACCTGCCTTTACCCAGAGATTGTTTAGGGTCCTTAAGGCCGGTGTACAAAGGTATCTTTTAAAGTGGAAAGTAATTCTTCAGATTTGAGCAAGTAGGGAACTTGATTCTGGGAAGCTGTTTTTCACCAAAGCTGTGGCCACTGCACTGTTCATAGTGATTGAGAAAGTCACTGTCCTGGCTAAGGGCTTGCTGTTTACAAAGTAATGTCTCCCACACGTCTACACAAGGGACTATTCATAATCACTCTGCATCATGGCCTAGCTTTTCCCCCATAGTAGTAAGAAGGGTGGAGAGACTATCCCAACTCTATCAGTCACCCAAAGCAGGTAAAGACAGAAAATTTTCTGGTACTGCGTACCTTAGCTGCCAATAAAGTAGTATTAATATGAACAACTTAAGGGTCCAGACATTGGTATCGAGGTGGCTACCATGAGGAAAAGGGCTCTCCTAGGTATCATCTGATTAACCCTGGATGCTCCATACTTTTTGTAAATCACTTCATTTATGTTATGCTCAACTACGCCAGATAGATATGAGGGGGTAGGGCTGGAAAAGTCTAGACTCATAACCAAAAATGTAAGAGATGAAGGGGTAGACAACCTTATGCCAAGATCCCTGGGACTGTGTATCAGATCAAATGCCCTCAGTGAACTGACAGCTCTGACCCTTGGTCACTCAAAACACAGGAAGATGGTCCTGCCTACCCCAGCAGCTCTTGGCCCTAATTGCTACCCTGCTTTTACTTTGGAGCTATTCAGCAAAATCTGAAATCAACTGCACAGCTACTGGCAGCTTATGGATACATGAAAAGGGTAGAGCTAAACATCCTATAATACACAGTGCAGTTCCTCACAGTAAGAGGTCACCTGGGCCACTGTTGGGAAATCTTGACCTCAGCTCTGTCACCCATCTGCATTCCTACCTTTTAATATGACTTTCCTTCTGCAACTGTTTTCCCACTTAGATAGCCCAGAATGAAATTCAAATAAGTCTTTAAATATCTTTTTAAAAACGTATCACATTATTGGTAATTCAGGAGTTTAATCTCTCATAGCATTAAGTTCCAAAAGATGGCAATTAATTTAGCATTACTTTCTAATGCACTGTGACATTTTAGAACACTATTATTTAATACAACTTCTAAAAACAGATACCTTTTACTTTCCCATAACTAATTGTGTGGCATGAAGTCTATGCATGTTTGGGTTAGGTTTTTACCTAACCTAAATAAGAAAAATCTAAAACCACCCATAGATAGGTTGAAAAGTAGTAATAATTAGTAAGCTGGACTCTTATCCTTCAGACGAGTCCACTGAACTAAGTAATGCACCCAGGGTCACACCTTTAGCATTCCTATAAAGGGGAGAAGTGCAACACATAAAAGAAAGACCAGATTAAAATTTGCTAATTATGTTTAATGGCTCAACCAGTTGGAGTAAAATTTGAATCAAGTATATTATTTCAAAAAAATGAAACCTAAATGAGCATATATTGAAATAAGACATTGAAATAAGTTCACTAGAATGAAAAGTTACATCATGAAAATGTTAAGAAATGCTATATCAAACACACCTTTGGGCAGAGCCTTCTACTGTCTTCACATTGGACTGTAGGAAAAAAGAATGAAGTATTTTTGCCCTACCTCTTTTTAGTTACTATGTTCTCAAATATTTTCATGTTAAAAAGCACTTTTATTTCCCCTTTTAATACTTTTTAGCTGCAGGCTTGAGACAGCCAAGCCATAAATTACCATAAAAGGCTCATTATATGGAGGAAATTGGAATTGTCAGAGAATAAAGTGTATGAAAATGCATCCAAACCCAGCAGTGACAATATTACACCATGTCTATTTCCTGCAGCTTTGATATCATCCATTTTCTTCATCATGAGAATATGAAGAACAAAAGTTCAGCTAGCCACAAGGCTGCTGGCGATGGGAGAGTAATTCTCTTTGGGGTATTACTTTTGATTATTCATTATTGCTACCTTGAAATTTTCATTTGTGTTCCACTCTTCAAGCTGCTACCAATTAAACTGAAATAGACTTGCAATTATTTTTAATGTTTCAGAAAAGAGCTTTTTAATAACACAGAAATAAAAGTTCTGATTAAAACCAAAATTATAAAGCAGGTCATAATTTTAAAGTGTTGATAAATACAGTATTTAGAGAATTGCAGGTCATTTTAACAAATTGAACTTTCTCAAAGTTATTATTGGGTTATGGACTTACTAATAACTCTAAATAGATTGGATTTTGAAAATCTCTCTCTTATCTTGTTCTGAACTGTCAGAGATAAAGAAGCCATGCCTGGGGTAAAATGTATCATTAATTTAAATGAGTCATAGTGGTAGTATTATATTTTACTCAGACATTTTGATAGTAGAAACAAAATCCTTTAAACCATATTCTCTCTTTAAATTATAATAACGTGTAGTTTTAAATAATAAATAATGTCTTAAATATTAGTTATATTTTTTGATGGTATTAACCTTATAAAAATCTAAATATGCAATAAATGTGTCTAATTTGTCATTTTTGCTAGTTTGGAAGTTCACCATGTCCTCCTGCTTTCAGAGTCTTGACAAATCTGTCAACAGTTTGTCCCCATTGTGCCCATCTAGCATGTTCTTCATACTCCTTTTGTTTGACAAAGACAAATGTATCGATAGCAATCAAGAGGAAATATGCAGAAGGGTGAAAGCTAGATATTAGCCTTTCCTGGTTTGGGTGCATTTCCTAAGAAATTAGAAATAGATTTGCATAAGATTCTACGTGCATGTGAAGGGTTGCCCCTTTCCCAGTATGTTTTCTTTAAACGTTGTGAAGCCTTTTGGATCCAACTCTATGTCCACTTTCACAGACGGCGGAGACTGGGGTTGTGTGTTTGAGGGAGTGTGCATGTATAGGAAAGCCCCAGAAAGTGTGTTTATGAGTAGAACATGCAGTTGGGATTTCCAGAAGCCTCCCCTTCATGGGGTTCTTAGTGCAGTGGCTTCAGGACGTTATTGCTTTCCATTTGAGACATGAAATTAAAAGGAAATGACTCTGACTTGTTCACTTCAGCTTGAATGTCCTAAATTTCAGTGAAGCACCATGAGTGTTAACCAAAACAGTGGTGCTTGCCATGCAGCCACAGTACAGCAATGCCATGGCATACAGGTGCCTCAAAATTATAATTACCATTAACTCTGCATGCTTCTCATACTTTTTCTTCTAATCAAGCTCAGTTACTTCACATCATTTATGTCACTGAAATTAATCATACATCATGTGAATTGGACAAATACATTTCTGGAATGAAATAAAGAGAGAATATGGCCAATTATTTTTTTGGGAAAAAAAATGTGGGATTTAGTATTTTTCAATGAGTTTCTTTCTCCCTAACCCCCTGTCTCTCGCTGAATGCTCTGATTCCCACATGGGTTCCTAAATAGGGAGAAATGGTAAGACCAATGTCAAATTGCTTTTTCCTCATTTGCATGCTTCGTGCCATGGGCAGTTTAACCCATGCAAAGTAGAGCGGCCATGCTTCTGCAGAACTGCCTCCCTCTGCCTTGCTCTGAAAGCATGTCCATTACAGGTAGTCAGACGTTCAGCACACTGTCTTGCACTATGCCTGGTGACTAAGTTCTGCCTCATCACATCCATAAGGCTAAAGGTTCCATCACACTCATGGAAAACTGGAAAACTATCTCTTCCTTTGGGTGTTTACATATTCATTTCAGCATTTATTGTAAGGGTTTCTACCAGGTGACTGGAATTTAAAATTTAAAAATGAAACACCTGTCGTTCTGGAAGAGAGTTGATTGTTTGTTTGTTTGTTTGTTTGTTTGTTTGTCCTTCCTCTTGATTAACTTATTCCTGTGGCTTAAATTTTCAGTAGCACTAGGGTTTGGGGTGGGCTGTTATTTGATGTGGTACCTTTGTTCTTTGGGGAATGACAACTGCTCTATTCTATGATTGATGCTAGATTTTTGGTCCAGTAGCCCTCATAAGAGAAGAAAGGCCATCATCGGGGCTTTGGACAGGAATTCCATGATTGGGGGACAAATTTTAACCCCATTTATTTTCTCATTCAACTCTGAGGGTGACCAACCTCACCCTCTCAAAATAAAAAGAAAACACAATGTTTGTATGTATCCGCATGCACACAGCACGGCATGCACATATACACAGATGCATAGTCAGTCCTAGTCTAACACACACATGCGCACATGCATAGTCAGTCCCAGTCTAAAACATACATATGCACTTGCAGTCAGTCCTGGTCTAGTCCTGGTTTTGAACTAAGTTTGAATTTATTTCATCTTCTATCTCTTAGCTTCTCCACACCACAAACATCATTTTCTTAGTTCCATACAGTAACTGTGTTTGTCACAGTTCTCTATAGAGCTTCTTTCTTTCTTTTTTCTTGTTGCTTAAGCTGAAGCGATGACTGGCTGGGAGATACAGCTTTGGTTGTAACTACACTTCATGTGCTTACAAACTTTTCTTTTGTAGGATCTGACGGCATTAGCTAAAGAATTACGAGAACTCCGGATTGAAGAAACAAATCGCCCAATGAAGAAAGTGACTGATTACTCCTCCTCCAGTGAGGAATCAGAGAGTAGTGAGGAAGAAGAAGAAGAAGATGGGGAGAGTGAGACACATGATGGGACAGTGGCTGTCAGCGACATCCCCAGACTAATGTAAGAGAGTGTTGTTATTTTGAAATAGAGTCTGTAGCTTGTTCCTGAGCTTGCCCTGATGTCTGTGCTTGAGCTATCCTCCTGCCTCAGCCTCAGGAGTAGCTAGGACTACAGATACATAGCAACATGCCTGGATCTAGACTGTTTGTCAAATGAAGACCAGGAAGGGACTGGGTCTCCAAACCAAAGCAAGAGAAATATCAGCTAAATACAAATCACACATAGGTCACTGACAAAGTGAATTGGCTTTGTGGAAATGGATTCTTATGACAATGTAGTCGTATAAATCTCTCTGTGTATAGACTCAGTCACCTAGAGCAAGTAGAATTTCTACACCTCCTGCCTGTTACAATTGGACTTGCTGTCCTTTCAATGGCTCTTTCTTTTTTCTTTTCATCTCCCAGACAAACAACATTGACAGCAAGACCACTGGCACATGTCTCTCCACCTATAAATAAGAGGATAAGGGCATGGACAGTGAGTGACATTATGAACAGGAGACATATTCCACCTACCACCTTGGCCACCAATAAGCAAAACTGAATGCACATGGCAACAGGTGTTAGCACCAATGAAATCATCAGGCCACAAATAACCATTCAAGGACAGTCTAAGTGTTACTGTGTTTCACTCCATCTTCTTCAGTGACTTTTTTATTTGATTATTTTTATTTTGTATGTGTATGTATGTATGTACATGTGTGTTGGTGTTGACATGCTATACATATGTGCATCTCCATGGTGAGGCCAGAAGTCAACATTGGATGTCATTCTTCAGATGCTATCCACCTTTTTTGAGATAGGTTCCCTCACTGGCCAGGAGCTCACTGACTCTCAAGTCTTTACCTCCTCAGCGTCAGGATTTCAAGCACGCACCACTATACTGGCCTTCATGCTGACATGGCAGGCATTTCACTGACTGAGTCTTCTCTAGGCCTTGATCTTTTCTTCTATCACCAGTGCCTTCATGTACTCTTATCAAATTCTTCAGTCTTATCTTTGTTTTTTTTTTTTTTTTTTTTTTTTTTTTTTTTTTTTTTTTTGTCTCTGTGTATGTCTGCCTAGCTTTCCTGAAATCATACTGGTTTTTATTTTTCTTTCTTCCCTCAGCATGAATAGGAAGCTCAGTGAGTTTTGTTCATTGGAGTAGATTCTTGGATTGGTTGCTCACATCTCATTCTTTTTTGCTTTTATAACTTCTCCCAAAATAAACGAGGTGTCATTACCCTGGGTTGCCATAATCTTGGTGAAAGGTAATGCTAACTTCCCCATCTTCACTCCCATTCCCCTCCATTTCTTTGCACTAGCTATCAGTGTTGATCACCAGAACATACTTACTCTACTGAAAGACTATGTCATAAGAATATAACTATTATCCTGCTCAATAGATACAAGAAGAGAGGGGTGACCAGTCTGCAGAGGTTGCCACCACAAGCAGTTCTGAGAGGCAAATCCAATAGCCATAATTATAAATCTATGCTTCTGTTGGCTATTCAATTATTGACAACTATAAATATGCTAAGATATGACATTTTGAAACAAATTATCTTAAATTGTCTTTTAATAGCAAATAAAAGTGTTCTAGAGGCAAGACTACCAAGGCAGAACATCTCTACAAAACATGCTGATCTTTTCCATTTTCTCTTGATTCAGCATTGTTCAATTCTTCTAATGGATGCTTAAAGTTCTCTCTAAACACTGGGCATAGAACTGCTGGGACAATAGCTGATGATGAAATTAAAGAATTCCCACAATTCCCACTACATGTTAAACACTGTGCTGAAGGAGATGAGGCACTTGGAGAATATGTACTTATATTCTGCCTTTAAAGTTCATACTCTTCTTTAGAGAGATAAATCATATATGGAAGAATGCAAGGTAATCTAATCATTTGGGACAACCAAAGATAATTTGTGGAAAAGTGTTGTATAAAAGAACATTCTAAACCCCTATCATACTTTGTAGCTCTATAAATGATGTCTCCCCTCCACGCTCTAAAGGACAATCTTCTAACATCCCCCAGATAAACCACATTGTGATTCTCTCTGCATCTGCTTATCTGTCCCTTTGGAAATCACCTGTCCACAGCCTAGCCTGCTGTGAAGAACCATCCATTACTGTCCTGCCCTCCCCCTTCTCCATTGCCACTATTATTTCCCCAGTAGCCCTGTTCGACTATAGTATCGAGTCAGGATTGTTGCCATGTTTGTCTCCCTATTTGAACTGTGGAGGTCCCTGAAGATGGGACAGTGACTTGTCCATTTCTCCACTCTGAAAACTTTGTTCTTTGTTGTGTCTGGAAATTGACTTTCCAGTAAATTTCCAAATTGACAAGGAAAATAGCCATGACTCAATCACATCAAGTCTAGTTGGCAGGACCAGACTGCAAATAGCAAGCAGGACTATGGCCCGATCCAAAGGAAAGACATGTATGTAAGTAACATAAATAATAGTCAGAAAGTCAGATAAGAACACAAAATAGGACCAGGTGTGTATGTGTGTGTGTGGGGGGGGTGAGTGTGTGGGTGTGTGTGTATTCCAGTTTGGTCTGAACTATAGATGTATTTTCATGAGCATTTAAAACAGACACAGTCTATTCTCCTCCGACACAAGGCTTATATGCCTTAGATATTTCATACTATTAAAACTCCATTATAAAACAGCTACTTCTGTACAAACGGAATGCTTTGGGGCTACAGTCTCTTTTTACATGTTCCTACCACCTTTATTTTCTTTTGTCGAGATAAACTTTAATGTTTTATGTTATAAATCTTTAGAGAAAATAAAAATACATTGTTCTCAGAAATGGAGGGCCAGGATTTCACACAAGCAGGCATGGATGCCAGTGTTCAAATAAGAGATTGTCCTAGTACAGCTTTATACTATTGCATACCATGTATCTGTAACAGTAGACTTTAAGTAGCTGAGTGCATTTTGCAACACCTCACGGGGGCACAGGGGAATAGCACCAGAGCATAACTAATTACTGATCTAAGAGTTCTAAGAAACTTTTATTATAGGTATGTATATTTATTATATGTATATTATATTATATGTATGTATATCACCAAATATATGATAGACATTGGCTATTCTTATAATCAAGAAAAGAAAAAAGGTTACGTGATAGGAAGAACAAGGTCAGTTTGCATCATGTGGAGCAAGCTGAAGAGGTGCTCTTTGTATCAGTGCTCCACTTGAAGTCCCAATCCAGACTTCAGACAGTAAGATACTGGTTGTAGGTTGACCAGATGGCTCAGTGATTAAGAAACTTCACTACTCTTTCAGAGGATAAAATATAGGTTTGATGTCTACATCCAGTGACTCATTGTAGCCTGTAACTCTGGATGCAACACTGGCCCTTTCCTGCCCTCTGCAGGTACACACACACACATGTGGCATCATACACTCATAAATACACATAAATGAAAATAATTTTTAATAAAAAGGTAAAGACCAGATAGTGACCATATAGTCCTAACACAGTTCATTTTGTCAATCTCACGATGCCATCTAGATGATGAAAGTCACATAGTTTTCTTTTCCTTCCTTCCGTTCTCAGTAAAGTACCACAGTTCCACCCATTGCCCACCTCCTTAGCTTCCTTTTAAGTCCTCTGCACTCCTGTGCCTTTGCATGCTCTGGGGTGACTGTCCATGCTTTATCCCTCAGTCCCTACACACCTTTGCATTCCTGCCACCAATGATTGCCCTAACACAACTCAGCCAAAATCCTATCTTTGGAGCCATAATACCCACCCCACCCCTTTCTTCCTGAAGTTCTGCCCTGTATGGAAGTGGATCTGTAGCACTCCTGTGCTTTTGTGGAGGCTAAGCACTTTAATTGAAGAATCACATGGTACCCAGTTTTTCTATCCTCTACTCTCTGCCAAACCAAGGACCTTTCAGAAAGCAGGTGCCTAAAAAGCATGTATTGAATTGAATTGAATTACATTAAATCAGTACCTCCAGAAACACTTTGACAAATCCAATTAGACGGAGTTATTGTTCCAAACCAGTACTCTAATTACAGAAAATTTCCTGTATTTTTTTCATTTGAATCAATGGTGAGAGTTTATTGCTTGTTTTGATTTGATTTGTCTTTTACAATCTTCATAGGATTTTTGGATAGCTAATTTTTCCTACCCAATCTCTATATTAAGAAAAATTACTTCTAGAACGATGGATAGTTAATACAATAAGAGGTGATATTTATTGTTTTATGCATAGTCACTTTTGGTTTGGTTTTTTTTTTTTTCTTCCCATTATCTTATTGTTAATAAGCATTGCTTTTTTTCCCGGGTTGTTTCAGTTTTATAGGCAAATGTAGGTGGTAAGGGAGCTCATCACACTTTTCACATCTGCACTGCATGTGTTATGTGAATGATCAGCATTGACATGGACTGGTCAGGCTGGCCAAGCCCATTTAGCTTTTACCCTAATGGCCTTCTTTTCTACCATGTTGCATTTAGTTGTCACAACTTTGTAGACTTTCCTTTGCTGGGACAGTTTTTCAGACTATGTTTCTGTTTGGAAACAAGTGTTAAAGATTAATCAGGTATACTGTAGACTGTTCTTCTTTGGGATTCTGAGGTTGCTTAGGTCAGTGCCTTTCCCCATCCCTCTTCACTGAAGTAGTTCAGGTATGACTAAAACAGATTCCTGTGTCACCGTTTACATACTTACTGGAAGCCTTTGGCATCATTTTAAATTTTCAAGTTTTTTACATTTATTTATTTTATTTTATTTTACAAATATGAATGCTTTGCCTGCATGTATGTAGCATAATCATGCCTGGTGGAAATCAGAGGAGTCCCCTAAAACTGGACTTAGGGATCATTGTAAGCTACCACGTGGGCACTGGGAATTGAACTCCAGTCCTCTGAAAAATTTGCAAGTACTAGTAATTGCTGAACCATCTCTTTGGCACCAACCAATCCTGTTTTTTAAGTGTCTAGACCTCAGAATTAATCTTTGCACTGTAAGTTCCTATGACTATCTG